AGTAATCCATCTATTCATTAACAAGAATAACTGTTTCAATATTCTGATCAATTTTATATAGCCGGAGCATGGACCTATTATAGGTCCATGGCCGGAGTTTCAAACTAGGCAAACCTTGCTAAAAAGGTACACTTTCTCCATCAAAAGGCTTTTTCTATGAATGAATGACGTTCGAAGCACGAACTCCTGTAGACCAAACCCAGTACCGTCACGTTTTTTAATCGTGCGGGAAATTTTGATTTTATTTTTTTTAAGAATTACATATATCGAATACCAATGCATGGATGGATGATTGTTTAATGAATAGTCATCTTCTAGTATTATAGTGAGGCCTATTAAATGTTATTTTTCTTATATACTCCCATCGGGCTTTTTCTTTTATCAAATTCAAAATACTATTGTGAACTTTTAAAAAACCCACAATACATAGCATATTTTCCAATAATGTTATTCTTATGAAGTCTTGCCTTTATATTTCGTTGAAAAAATGGATATAATAATTTGAATTCATGCACTCTTTTCCAAATACATGTCTTTAATCACTGTGTTTTGCCCATACAGCGAAAATCAATCGGGCATCACTTTGACTCGCGTGTATTAAGAATAGTAGTGCTCTGATTGGTTGCGCATGAGCATGAACAAATTTGCCTATAGACTTCTTGCCTCAAGTCTCTAATTATAAGTTTTCCTAGTATTAGCTAATTTTGGAGAGCGCCACTAGCGTCGGTATATATCGAGAAACTTTTATGCGAATTAGTATGGGGTGCCATACTCAGCAAAAGTCCATGTTAAAATCAAAATATAATTGCAAAATTCAATGTCTAATTTATTAAAACGTAGGCGTAAATTTCCACAAAATGTAGATCTAGTTTCCCAAAATGAAGTTCTAATTTTTCAAAATGTAGTTCAAATTTTTCCAAATGTAGTTCTAATTTCTTTAAAATGTAATTCAAATTCAAAACGTAGGTCTGACTTGATCAAACACCCTCTCCAAATTCTATTTCAAAACGTAAATCAAAAACCAGCTGGTTTGAAATGCATTTTACAAAAACGCTAGAAATGGACTTTTGCTGCGTATGGCACTAGACTTGCGAAATGTAAATCAAAACTAATCAGCCAAGCATGACGTGGGCCTGTTCCATTAATGATGGGGGAACCATTTTTTGCTGCAGTCCAATGCCGTGAACAACGCTTCCCAGTGCGTCTGCTAGTCTAGGCCTATATTAAAATTCTGTATAAGTAGTCATATGATTACAGGTTTACATTGTACCAAGATCGATATTAACGATCGCATTTATTTTTAACTGAAAATAAAAAGAAAACTTTAAATAATTTAACTTAAGGATTTTAAAATATTCCAAACCTGAACGCTTAAAAAAAAAAATAAAAAAAAAAAATTAATAAAGTTAACTTAAAACACAAACAACGCGATAGGATATAAAGTTTGAGAGAAGTTCTGGTATACTGTACTGTATTTCTGAAGTGCCATTCGTTTTGGGGTTGCTACAATCAGGAGTTACAATTGATCCAACAAAGAAAGAGCACTATCTATTTCCTTACATTCCAAAAAGGAGGATTGGATGCTATTTAAATTTCTCTGAAGATTGAAAAATTAACTGTTAACTCCGTTGTTAGAGAACATAGAATGGTTCATGACTTTCGGACTGGTATAGACCTTCAGTAGCCCTATGTACTCTAGGTGTAAATAAATACAGAGAATAGGCCAATTTTAGTGAGAACTAAACATGTTTTAATAACGTAGGGCCTATATACAATGAAAAGCAGATTGATCACAAAATCAGAAGCATGATTTCAAACATCAGAACCCAGCTTTTATTGTTTAAAACTGTCGGGGCCCCATTGAATGAAACTACGGTATTATAGTTTATATTATATTTTTTTTAAGCTACAATGTCGGGGGCCCCTGGCGCCCCCTCCCTCCGTCAGCCCCTGAGTGTGACGCCACTGATTGTAACAACTGTTGATTACAGCAACCCCAAAATGAACAACGGCGCTTCAGAAAATACAGTACAAGTATACCAATTATTCTCGCAAACTTCATATCATATCGCGTTGTTTGTGTTCTAAATTAACTTTTTTTTTTTTGAAGTGTACAGTTTTTTTTGAATATTTTAAAATTCTTAAGTTAAATTTTTTTGTAAGACCCTACTTTGTCGCTTTTCTCACAAACCGCATCCAGGCCTCTGCCCCTGGACCACCCAATTTCAAAAAAGTCTACTTTTAAAACCTATTATTTCACTAAAATCGTTCCTAATTATGCTATAGTATGGATTTTTAATAATGTGCTGAAATCTGTTGGAAATTATCAGCTCCAGTGATTGCAGATTGATCCATGTCATCTGTAGGCCTACAGATGTAAAGAACATAAAAAATTACAATTTCGCAGTGGGGGATCAAGCGAGAAGAGCCCCCTAAAATTATAAAAGAAAATGGAGAAAAAAGAAAAATCATAATTGTCTGAGAGTGCCATTTCCGGCCATTTTGAGGTGCCATAATCATAAATTTTCTTACCTCAGCCCCAATCATATGGTGGGGGCTGAGATGGTATTAACCATCTGTCTCAAGTTCCTCCTTTCACCCCCACCCTGTATTTCTTCTGCTTTTACTGTAGGTCCCTAGACGATACTCAAATGAATGAATTAATAGGATATTACAAATTATGGATTTTAGAAGTCCATTAAAAAAGGCCCTCAAAATGCTAATTTGTCAGAGCTTCCAGAAG